GCTACTGTACTTGTAATTAGCACGAACCCTGAGCTAGTCCAGTTGTTGCCCCGAAGGCCCAGAACAAGAGAAATCAATCGGCCAGGAGGAGAAGTGAATGCACACAGCAAGTCAAGGCAAGAAAGTCAGAGCAAGTCACTGCACGAAAGGCTGCAGGGTTAGGGGGCGTTGGCGACACTGGACCAATCAGCTATGAGGGAAAATCGATAGCTAGGGTGCGCGCTCACATTGCGGCGGCGTGACAACTGCGCTCTGACGCCTTTCTGTGCTGTGTCTCATCGTGGGAATTAACATATTCAAAACACCCCTACCTTTCAACGCCTTTATCTCTTCCACATTGTGTACTTTATTACAATAATCTCGTATACGAAGAGCAATTAGCGAGCATACGTATACCTTCAATAAATTCTCATCAGGCCGTTACATTGATATGGGAGGGGGGTAAAGTGTAAAAGGCAAAATTGCAGGTAAATTATGGTCAACGTTACAGGCGAATTAGTCCAGAGGATAGGGGAGGAGGTTGGGGTAGTAACAAGCGACTAATTAAGCGGCAATTAGGGAGAGGGGGGAAAGGGAGAGAGGAGGATCGGAAAAATGCCGGTAGCTAGGTGGCCGTTGGCCATGCTAAGCTTGGAGCTTGCAAGGTTCTTCCGCGCACACAAAATCGGCTTCCTCAACCGGATAGCGGTTGCTTCTGCTGTTACTAGCAGGCGCTGACACAGTGACTTAGGATAATTTGGTGGGACCTTGTAGATCACCCTGAAGACTTCGTTGTGGTCCACCCGATGTCCGGAATCAACCATGTACGCTAGAATAGAGCTGTTGATGGTCCTGGTGGTATTGACTCAACTGAAGAAAAAAAGGGATTGGCACAGTTGATCTTTCCGGCATAGTATCCTTCACTTTTAAACGCCACCTTGGTTTCATTTTTTTCGAACCCCAGCTGTATTACGTTTCCTTTCCGCATACTGGGGCAAAGGCTCGAACCAATGGTGGTCCTCCTCTTTACACCAGCATTTAACCCGCCAGTTTTTCATCTCTTTAATCCTCAACTGAATTAAGCCAGACCATACTGTTACGACCCATGTCTGGTACTTGTAATTAGCACGAATTCTAAGCTAGCCCGGCTGTTGTCCCCAAAACCCAGTAAGAGAGAACAAGAGAAGTCAATCGGCCACCGAGGGAAGTGTAGTAACATAAACTAATCAGAGCGAGTCACTGCACAAAAGGCTGTGGGG